ATCATTTCCCCCATGTCTCCTTCTTCACAAGTCCGACCCATTACCTTCCCTCTCTCTAACCCCTCCTTATACCCTTCCTTGCTCTTTTTCAGGGTTTTAAACCCTACATCGTGACATTTTTTCAACAATCCACTGAGACTAGTTTGTGCTGTTCACATGCTCTTGGGCGTGGGATAATTCACTGGAGTGTGGTCAGCCTACCAGCAACTATCAATTTAATGAAAACTGACTCTCACTTCCCCAGATGCCCTCAGCTATTCATAGTGCCACAATTAGGGTAGAGTTTCATGAATCATTCCCCCTTCTCAACAGAATGATGACTGGCTTGATTTTGTGCAGACAACCACATTGTTAAGAGTTCATAAGTGCAGTGTCCCTGCACTATTCCATACTGCTCCCCTGATCCCTGCCTTTCCTCTTACAATCTGAAATCAGCCCTCAGCCTTGGGGACTGGTAATACAGATATCCCATTTATGGTTAAGCATTCAACTTAACATTAGTTATCAAGCTGACAATACCTCCCTAGATTAATATAAATTCAGTAGACTGTGATTTACTTGATCCTAAGTAGTTCAAATCCCTTACTATATTTTATGTAATCTAGGGGGGGGTCTTCAATGTATTTTGAAGGATAAAATAGTTCTCTGATTTTAAGTTTTGATTCTCCTGATCAAAAGACATTTTGTTTCTCTCTAATAAAACCTGGACCCCAAGTCCTTTCTCCCAGTGTCTGGTAGAAGATATAGTCTGAGTTTAAGATCAAAGCAAACAAACATGGGAGAGCTTTGACTTTTAACTGTTAGGGAAAAAAGTTTTGACAAAAAAAAAATGAATTCTAACTTACAGTGTTGTTCTTAATTTGTAGTGATGATTTAATTGGTCTAAAAGAAAGGTAGTAGGATAGTAGCCATGTTTTTGTTCTCCAGACGTAGGTTAATTATATTCAAATCTTAACATTTGCAGTTGGTAGCTCAGTGATATACAGCAGGCATTTCCCTAGGCCTCCATGCCACCTCTACGATAAGGAGCTTTGCCTCTTCTGTGAAAAAGGCAGAGAAAAGGTAGTGCAAAGAACTATTCTGTTATGAAGCTTTAGGAGATTTCCTGAGAAAGTAGCTCTTGCTGATTTCTGAAAGATAAACAGGAAGAACTCAATGAAAATCTACCAGACAAAGGTAAAGGCAAGTCAAAAGATCCGGAGGCAGAAAGATAGGACGGACTTTTTGGCTGTTCTCAGTTTCCAAAAATTCAAAGAAGGGAATGGTAGTTATGACCTAGTAAGAAAGTGGCAAATGCCAATGATTGACACAGGCCCAGAGAGGACCTTATCCAGAGGAGTCTCCTTTGCCCAGTCATTCTTCCATCATTTCATATTTACTTTATGAGAATTCTCTTATTAACTTATTACTTACATAGTTTTCTTCTGCATTCCTTACTTAATTGCTTCAACATAAGTTCCATTAGTCATCTCTATTTCTATAATACAAAAAATAGAACCAGTTTAAAATCATTGGCATTTAATAAATATTGGATGAATGTGGTAAAAACATAATAGATGATTTTGGTAAGAAAGGTATGATAGAGCCTTATAGCAAAGTGTTTTATTTGCCTTAAAAATAGATTTAAGCTTTTAAATTCGTGATGAAAAAGTAGGGAGTTTTAACTTGAAGGCAGTGTAGTAAGATTTGCCCTTTTAAAGAAAAATCTCAAAAATATTCTCTGTGAGACTGGAGGTAAAATTTAGCTTAGAGGTTAAGAACACTTGCTCTGTCAGAGGACCTGTTTCAATACTCAGCATCCACATGGCAGCTCCATGTGGTAGAACTGAAACTCCAGTTCTGAGGAATTCAATGCCAGTAGAAGCCTTCTGACAATGTGAATAGAAGACCTGTGGGATCCTGGTTGAGGGCTATTAGGAAATAAGAGACTGACTGGCCCAATGGTTATAGCCAGACTGCCAGAGACAACGGAGAATGCTAAAGGAGCACTGCGACTTACAGGGATGAGGCTTGGGACATGAGACAGCTGGTTATAGAGGGCACAGGCAGAGGTATTTTTCAGCAGTATTAATTAACATATACGATGCATAATCAAATATATTTGAGCCAAATTCTACACTTTTAAAGGAAGATGTGACATAGAAAATAGCAAAGACTAAGGTGTTGAAATAGAACCAGAGATATTAGTGTGTATTCATGTTTGACAGATGGATGGATAAGTGGATTTATAGACAGATAGAAAATAGGCAAGCAGATAAATTAGATAAACAAACAGACAGACAAATAGATATATAGGTATATAAATAGATAAATAGCTAGATGATAGGTAGATAGATAGATAGATAGATAATAGATTAAAATAGATAGATATAGCAAATTCATTCTCTCTGTCTCTCTCTCACTCTATCTCTGTGTATTTCCCAGCTTTGTTAATTTAAAAAAGAGGGGGTATATAAATCAGATCAACCAAAGCAGTGTATGGTGTGATCATAAGATAAAGATTTTGTAGAAAAGTTGAACACTCAGTATATTGACACCCTGGCCTTCATTTCTAAAAGGTCCTTCTTACTAAAGAATTATTTCTTACAGAATGCAGAGATGGCTCAGTGGGTCAGGGTAGAGTCTGCTGTCGCAGAGGACCAGAGTTTGATTCCTAGCATACCTCAGTCAGTGCACAGCCAAGTGCAACTCCAGTGTCAGGAATATCTAATGCCTGTGTTTTCCTCAGGTACCTGTACTACCACACAGACACATACATACACATAGTTTTCAAAAAAGTAAAAACAAATCTTCAAGGCTAGAAGGAATAATTCCTTAAAAATGAGGTTGACTTAAAGATGAAAAGAGAAAAATGTCAAAATAAACTTAATACATCTTCTGTCATTAAAAAAGTAAATGGTAAAACAATAATGGAGAGTTGTTAAAAGTGATATTGTGAACCTCAAAATGAATAAAGTGTGCTACAATTAAAAGATTTCTCACAGTAGGGGTCTCAATAATAAATATACATATATAAGGACATAATAAGTGTAGATAATAATAGAGTGATCACTAAAAATGTTGATAGTGATGAAATTAGACCAGGTCAAACCAAATCATCAAGGAATGCAAAAATTCAGAATAAATTTTGGGAACTCAGAGCTAGAGATCAAATCCAAGATTTCACGTATACCAAATACATGTTCTACAACAAAGCTGTATTAGCATAATTTCAGAACATTACACTCAGGAGAAAATCAGTACCTTTATAATATAGAAACCTGGAAGACCTCACCATAGCCAAAAAAGCAACACTTTGTGCTCCCTGCTAAAATACACAATGAAGAATGGATGCGATACTTTAATAGGACACTACTAAGAGACAAAATGAGAATTTATGAAGAACGTTCTGTAAAATAGCTAGCCTTGACTCATTAAAACTACTGCTAACACCAAAGCCAAGGAAAGATTGAGCAAATCTTCCAGAGTGCACACTAATGAGACCTGAAATTAAAGAGAAACAAGTCACCTTTTATAGACCCTGGGCTGGAAGAAAAGGGCATACTTAAATTAAATTAAAATTAAAATGTCATTCTTAGGATAACTGATAAAATGGGATCAGGACATTAGGATTAGAAAACAGTTTTCATAAGGGTCTATTGCTAAGAGTGCTGAGGGTATAGCAAATTACATTCAGATAGCTCAATAGTAAGGAAACTGACATAATTTTTACCATATATATGAACCATATTCATATATATGAATATATATACACATAGATCCTTATCATGGTAAATGTAGTCAGATCAGCAGCTGAGAAAATAAGGGATTCTTTTTACTATTCTTAAGGGGTGCCTATGAAAGATTTTGAACTGGAGAACAAGTAAGATTTACTGAATTAGTTGTAGAATAAAATCATTGCAAAGTATAAACAAAACAAAAATATAATACTTAAAAGTTAACATTGTTTTGTGCACGCATATATGTATGTCTATTTATTTATGTATTTAAGCATAACTTCAAGCATTATAATGTGTCAGATTTGGGGTACCTAGTCTTATGTTGAGGTCTCTGAACCATTTGGGGTTGTGTTTTGTTCAGGGTACTAGAGTATCTTTTCATTGTTTCATGTGTAGACATCCAGTTTGACTAGCAACACTTGGTGAAAATGGTGATTTAAATCCAGTATGTATTTTTTAGCTTCTTTGAAAAAAATGTGGTGTCCTTAGGTATGTGGAGTTGGATCTAGGCCTTCAATTTGATTTCTTTAATCAACATATGTTTTTATGCCAATATCACCTAGTTTTTGTTACTATAGTTCTGTAGTAGAACTTGAGCTCAGGGATGGTGATTCCTCCATCAGTTCTTTCATTGTACAGGATTATTTAAGCTTTCCTGGTTTTAGTTAGTTTGTTTGTTTTCATATAAAAATGAAGATTTTTTTATTTTTGCAAAAGAAATGTGTTTGAATTTTTATGAGAATGACATTGAATCTGTAGATATCTTTTGGTTGGACGGGAATTTTCACAATATTAATCCTACTGATCCATGAACATGGTAGATCTTTCCATCATCTGATGTCTTCTTTAATTTTGTATTCTGGTACTTTACTGAAAGTATTTATCAGATTTAGAAGTTTTCTGGTGGAGTTTTGGGGTCTTTTACATATAAAATCATATTATACACAAATAAAGATAATTTGACTTCTTCCTTTCCTATTTCCTATTGATAATGTTTTGGACATAGAATATTTCTTCTTTCTTTGTTTCTTGTGTTTGAGTCTATGTTTACCTTGCAAATAATAGCAAAATACACTCAAGTCCTACAATTATGACTATTGCATAAAATTGCAAATAATAATATCTTGGAAGTGATTAATGAATAGATTGTTTTCATTTATTTTTCTAACAGATTTATAATATATGTTCAGAATCAGAAAATAACATCAGTTTTGGTTTTGAAGGCAATAGCAACCAAAGTCAATTTTTTTATATTTTGGCTTGCTCTTCTCTCCCGGCCAGGTTTCATACGTCAAAGCTATTGATATTTGGATGGCAGTATGCCTCCTCTTTGTGTTCTCAGCACTACTGGAGTATGCAGCAGTGAATTTTGTATCAAGACAACACAAAGAGCTTCTGAGATTTAGACGAAAGAGAAAGAATAAGGTAAACAATTACATTTATTGGGTTTAATGGGATACCAATTTGCAGTGTGTAGTGGTTTGTTGTGTGTAATGCAAATATACATGAAAAAAACTTGGACTGGGAACTAAGTGAAATGATAGTCTCTCATTTTCAGTTGAAAGGATATGTAAAGATTGTTTCAGGGATAATTATAGTATTGAGTTATACTATATATGTATTATATCTGATGACATAAATGCTTTATTGAGGTCATTAATATATTTCCAGGAACAACATTGTTTATGCTTCAATTGATAAATATCCATCTCCTACTTGCAATGCTAGAGTATTTCAAATGACAACATGTAATAAAGACATCAGATTTAATTATAAAAATTGCTATCTGAGCTAATTGGTTGTTTTCATAAAATATCATGGAAGTATTAAAATCACGAATTTATGTAGTGTAGTATCTTCTTATACGCATTTTCATATTTAAATATTTTTGTTCTGACACCCTGTGGTAAATAAACCAAGTGCTATTGTTATCTTGCTAATCAAAGATGAACCCATAAGAAAATGCATTTGAAGCATCATTAGGCAGTCATAGAAAGCTGTGGAAATAACACGCTAGCTGAATTTGGTTGTGTATAATGTGTTTGCTCCTCTGTTAAAATCTGCTAAGGCATCCTTCATTATGGACAGCATGATTTTGAGTAACCCTCTTTCCTTTATAATAACAGAGTTTCTCTCAACAGTAGATCTATGGTTTACTTATTATCTTGTAAATGTGCCAAATTAAAACTTAAAGAAAAATCTTTGCTCGACACAACACTCTCAGAATCATATATAAAAGTATTTCCACAGTTCTATATACTGAGGTCTTTAAGCAAAACATAAATCTTAAGGACAATGGTCTGGCTTAAATGGTAAGAAGTTTTAATAATTTTTAAATACTCAGTGATTTGTGAATTATTTGGTACTTATATATTTGTTAAACATTTTAAAACAAAAGATGTTAATCTCTCAGCTGAAGTACACTTAATATTACATGTATTCTAAGGAAACTGACTTCTAAAACTTATCTCAAACCCTATAAACATCCACAAATGAATGTAGTAAAGGAACATTAATACTGAGACAGTATTTTGCTGGACATAAAACAACCCTTGATTTTTCATCTGATAAATTTTTATGAAAAGAAAACTATACCATTCATATGTTGAAATATATTGTGATAAGGAGAATAACTTTCATATTGTCCTTCCACCTTCCCCTGGCCTTGGTCATTTATGTTTTGTCCTCCCCTTTCTCCTCTTCTCCCTCTTCCTCCACTCTTTTCCCCTCCTCCCCCTCCTATTCTCCCTCCTCTTCCTGCTCTTCTTCCTCTACCACCTATTTCCTCCCTCTCCTCTTCGTTTTAACCACCCCATTGTATCCTCCTCCTTTCCTACTTCTCCCTCTCCCTCTCTCCTTCTCTCCCTTTCTCCTCATCACGTCTCTCACACAGATTTTTGCCACCCTTTCTCTCCTGTTTCTTAAACTGACCAAAACACTGTAACAGAACCAAGGCTTCACATGGTTTAAGCAGGTGCCTTTCTTTCCTGTTGGTGACTGATAAAATTATCCTGATTCTTGTTTGCTGTAATTGGGGCACTACTCAGTTTCCATATATTAGTATTTGATTTTACACTTTCCTCTTCTATCCTTTCTACTGTAGCAAGCTTCAACCATAGGCTACCTAGACTAGATATGAGAAGCATCATACATATTTTCTCAAATAGGAAAAGGCTGCTGTCTCATAGTCACTGCACACTAAACATCACTGAATAACGAGCCAGACCATAAATTTAGATATTCAATTCTAGTTCCTCTTTTCAAGGAAAAGTTTTTGACTGAAGTACTTCTATATTCCGTTTTACCACATGTAGGAGTGAGATAAAAATATTTGATGTACTTGGTGTCCATTACTCTTTAGCTCACAGCAAAGATGCAAAGATTAGTATGTTCAGAATCTCATGTGCCAGGAAAAGTTAAAAAGAAATATAAGAGTAATAATGGTTTATTGTTCTCTCATCACTTTTTGAAATATTCAGCAGCATATGTGACTAAAGGTAATTAAAATGTAATGGAAAACACAGCCACTAATTTTTGATTCAATACTTTTGGATAGATACTTCGCATCTGTGAACACCAATGAATTGATACAAATGTATGCTAAAATGGTGTATGTGATTAAAATCAATTGTGTAATTATGCTTGATTTGATTCTCTGGTTTCTCAATCCTTCTTGGTCCACTTTACCTTCCCACAGACAGAAGCTTTTGCACTGGAGAAGTTTTACCGTTTCTCAGACACGGTAAATTGACTTTCTTAACTCTAAGTAGAGGAATGTGATCATCTATAAAAAGCAGACAGCATATTCTGCTCGAGCCAGTGTTTGGTGGGGAAACACAGTCCAGTTTGGACTTAAAGCTACGTAAACAGCATTTTTCTTCAGCTAGGAACAATAATCTTTTCTAAGAGTTATACTCTTATCTTTGCTCACTCAATAAAAGACTAAGTTATGATTCATTTAGTACACAGTTAAATGTAACTGGTCAAACTGATTTTAAGCATATATATTTTAGAAATATCATCTATATCTTGTAGTGATCCTCACAGGAGGAAATCATAGAACTGGAGAAAATTAAAAACAAATGGGAGCTAGTTGTGTTGGGTCAGACTTTTAATCCCAGCACTAGGAAGGCAGAAACAGACAGAGTTCTCTGAGTTTGAGCCAGCCTAACCTACACAGCAAGGACTAGACCCACCAGTGCTATAAAATGAGATTAGACTCAATAAATAAATAAATAGCAATAAATAAGGAAATAAATAGGAAACTATTTATATACACAATTCTAAGAGCAGCTGTAAAAGCAACCAAAAAATGAGGTTCAAAATGCTTTTGTGTCAGCTATGTATTTTTTGACACTGTTCATTGAAAGATTATGTATAAAAATCAAAAATTCTGTTTTAATGAGCTCATATTTTCAATTTTATAAATAAGAATATATAAAGATATCACAAAGATGCACATCCGTGAATGACGCATAAGCATCCAGGAGGAAAATGTAGAGTATTCATCCATGGGTGACTTATAAATGTATAAACCCAGAATTGGATTCTCAAGATTGCATTACAAATAGTCTAGTTTACTAACCTGAAATTTGGGGGTAAATTATATTTTTATGTATCTCCCAAGATGCGTTCTGCTGTTCATTTTTAACATTCCCCAATTAATAATCTATCGAAAAAATAATATTAAATGAACATTTTTACCATCTCAACTTTATTGCATATTATCTTTAACCAGTACTACTCTAAAGCACTGTACTGACTTGTTTTATGTCAACTTGACACAAACTAGAGTCATCCGAAAGTAGATAATCTCAACTGAGAAAATGCCTTCGTAAGATCCAGTTCTAGGGAATTTTGTTAATTAGTGATCAATGGAGGAGGGCCAAGCCCATTGTGGATAGTGCTATCACTGAACTGGCTGTCCTGAATTCTATAAGGAAGCAGGCTGAGCAAGTCATGAGGAACAAGCCAGTAAGCAGTATCCCTCCTTGACCTCTGTATTAGCTCCTGCCTCCAGGTTCCTGCTCTGTCTGAGTTTCTGTACTTATTTCCTTCAGTAGACTATGATGTGGAAGTATAAACCAAATAAACTCTTTCCTCCCCAACTTGTTTTGGTCATGGTGCTTCATTACAGCAATAGAAACCCTAACTAAGGCAAGTACTTATTATGTTCTAGAATCTACAATCACTTAATCAGTTTACTATGTTATTTTCCAATCCTAATATTTCTTGACTTTATCTATGAAAAATGTTATATGATTTAACAACTATAACTATCCAATTAGCAATATTTTCATTTTATGAAATCTGAATAAGATGTAGTAAGTTCAATATGGATTCATATACATGCCATATATAATAATAAATAATATATGTATATGTAAAATTTCTCTCTAAAAACTAAACTATTAATTATCATTAGTAACTAAAAAGTTTTCAGAAACTAATGAAAATTGCACATTCTATTAATTATGTCTTTATAAAGATTTCTGATGAAATCTTATGCTTATCTCACAATCAATTATTTTGAACAGAAAAATGTATAGTAATGTAAACATTTTTTTAGAAAAGTTAGATTTTTCTGTTTTTAACAAGTAGGATAAGCATTGTACAATTCTGGAAATGGTAACTTTGACTTTTGTAAGGCATTTTTCTCAAACTCAAAACTGTCTGGACTGTCCGAATTCTTTATCCTCTTTAACTGCATGTTCTGCTTTATAATGCTCTGAGCAATCTAAGTCTTAAAATCCACTTAATCACAATAGACCAAATGATAGAGCGTGTCTCTTTTCACGAGCAACAGTTTTCATGAGTTTCCTTCATACGCTAATTAGGAAGGATAGTCAAAGTAAAGAAAATTTATAGAGAGTTTGTTGCAAGAAGAGATCTAACAGCAGTGCAGATGAAATTCTTCGAAATGTTGTTTTTATAATTTAGTATAGTATTGACTTGAACTTGATACATAATCTTTGAAATTCACGTCTGCTCTATTAGAGGTACAAAAGAATGCTTTGTCCATTCAGAAGAGTAAAACTTTGCTCTCGTACACAAATTTCCCCACCCCACACTGTTAAACCCTGCTGTATGCTGACTCCCACTGCACCACGTCATAGATGCTATCTCCAGTGCTGAATGTGTATGGGTGTATGCATGATATAAAAATATTTTCGTTAGAGGTCACTGTTGTCGTGTATGGAGAGATACAAGGACGCCCTAGTGTTTCCAAACATGCATTGTCTGTTGAGAGCTTTGAGTGACATTGGACTGCTTCAATGCATTTCATGTAGCTTCCTCCACATTCCAGTAACTATGCAATGCTTTGCTAAGAGAACATTCTAGAACATGTCTTCTAACTATCATCCGCATATACAAATAAAATAAATTATGACCAAAATGTGTGTTTAGCTAGGCCAACAGCTTTCTTTACAAAAGAAGATACAATTCGCTGCATTTTGAAAATTGGTATAATACATTAAAATGACTTGTGTTGTAAATGTATTTATTGTCATACTTTAGAAGAGCTGAATATAACTTTTAAGATTGATGTGTAAACTATTTTTCTGTCTTGTATTCTGTAGTTCTACAGTCTTAAAGCAAATAAAAAAATTATGTACAATGTGTTGATTGAAAGGGGGAAACCTCATGGCTGAAACTATATGGTACCCACATACATGAAGTCATTTAATGTGTTCCAATCTAGATTTATTTATGGTATACTCTAGAATGAACATATTCCTTAAATAGGTTAGACTTACAATGTTTACGTATACCTTTCAAAAGTGGTTGTTCAATAATTCAAAAACCAAAAGAACTATCTTCTAAAGATTCGCTTTTATGAGACATTGAAACTTTCTCAAGTAAAATAAAGATAAGATTTTGATTGTTTTCTGAAAACAAGTATTTAGAATTTATGTTAAACAAATTATTCCTTTCAAGTAAATATAGCTTTAATACTATTCATAAAAAGTAATATTCTGTAAAGAAATGTAGGGCTGGCAAGAAGGTTCTGTATGTAAGGACACTTTCTATGAAAATGGATGAGGATCTGACCCGAGCTCTTATCTCAGAACCAAGGTAGGAAGGAGAAAACTGATTCCCCCAAACTGTTCTCTAATCTCCACACCCATGCCATCCTATGGCACATGCACACTGACATACACATGCACAAACACACAGAACTGGTAGGCAAATAAGCAATTAAAAGGAAAGAAACAAAGAAATATGACGGCATATTCGACCGGTATGCTAGAATTAACCGGACCAGCTAAAAACAACAGATATAATTTAATAATCGAAAATGGGGAAACTCACACGACCGGGGTAAAAGTTCCGATATCCGAAATGGGTCTGGCAAACACGGGGCAGAGAAGAGAGTGAGAGCACCTGGATACCCAGGTTTTCTTTCCTGGCCCCAGGCGGCCACACCCTAGCCAAATGTGATTGGCTGAGCTTCCCCATCAGTAATATAAGGCCTTCTTATTTGAAATTAAAATGTGATAATTGCCTCTATCTCAAAGTTAACTAAAATAAACATGTGGCTTTTCCACACACCCCCAATTCTATTCACTGAAAGAATTTAGTATACTACACCAGAAGATGGGGTACATTTTAAAAAACATTCTATGGACATCTTATCTTTCCCTTAAAATATCTATATCCCATTTTCACAATTCATCTAGATATTGAACATTCATCTTTAGAAACTTAAAATTTGCCACTTGTTTGCCCCTAATTATTTTTGGAATCAACACTGAATGCATCAAACATACACTGAACTCTAAGTCATCTCTAGTCAATGCAAAGCTTTCCTTCAAGTGGTGTTTGAAGAATTTCATATCAACGTTTGACTTTCAACTATGAAACAGTTTGATTGACCCTACTTGTATTTTCTTACATTTTATTTTTTGAAACAACACAAAAACATTTGACAATAAATTGTAAAAGTTATTGAAGCAAGTATGCATTTACATTTATCTATTCATTATCTAAACTGTATAAAGAACCTTTAAAAGGTATCTACTAAGATAGAAGCATTGCACTGGAAATTATATATATGATATAACTATAAACTTACCATATTTTTCTGTATCTTACTATAATTCATATAATCAACTTCCTGGGGTCTTAGATGCTCAGTGTTTTGTGACCATTCGGTGACAATTTTCCTGCCTTTATCAAATTCATATTCCAACTTCATATTTTTGATTCCTCTTTCTAAAGACCTAGAATGAGACCAAAAGTTAATTCTGATTGTTCTGACCTCATGGATATGATGATATATTATTGTGAGGACAGAATGAGGAGATTTCACTGAAGGACTACATCTGGTCTACCACCTTCAGCCTACCTCTACTATTTCAATCTGCAGTAGGCAGACATATGAGTAGTACTTCAATAGGATACTTTAAACACTGTAAAAAAAAGGACTTCAATTTTCACAGTGCAGGTCTGAAGAATAACTACTAAAATATTTTTCTCTGTTCCCAATTTAAAATGTCTTTTAAAGCCTTATTAGGAAATTATACAACTAAGTGGCATTTTAAATTTTTCATTGTTTTCCTTTGAAGCTGGCTTAAAGAATAATAAGGGGGGTTATCTCCAAGTAAATTAAACTAATGTTTTAATTTTTCTTTTCTAAGCAGTTATGTTTTGTAGCTTATTTTTAGTCCATCCTTTGCAATCTTTATTCTATATAATCTGTATTTAAAAGTCATAACATGCCTTAATTTTATGATCACT